TTAATTAGTAGAATCCAATTAGTATTAAATACTAGAAACTCAAAATTATATTTTTTTAGTTATAAAAAAGCTATCTTTCTTATATAGTTAAGTATTATTATAATATAATACCAATAGTATAATTTATTAAAATAAATCCTTTTACTATATATAAAAATTATATATTGATTTTATAAATGTTAATAAAAATATAATTTCCTTTTTATTACTTTATAATTAATATTTATATATGCTCAAATTTTAATAAACTTTTAAAAAGTTTTTCTAATTATTTTTAATAATGTTATAACATTATCTCTTAATAGTAAATATTAAAATTTTATTTTTTATTTAAATTATATAGAAAAAAAAAAACTAGCCATAAAATTAAAATTCAATCCGAAAAGTATTTAAAATAAATTTGAAATTTTAAAGTACTGTACTTTTCCGATTTTTTAATCACCACCTTTTTAAATACTAAACTTCAGGTGATGCTACTTTTTTTTGTGCTTCGGATTTTTTTTCTTTGTGCTCCTTAAATGATGATTTTTGTACACTGAAAATTGAAAAATTGTAGATAAGATAGTGAATTAGCTATAGATGAGGGACGAAACCCCTTAATAACAGTCGAAACTTAGACGAAACTATATTAAAAATCATAATAAGAGATACGACGAAACCCATTCGATACGACGAAAGCCGAAACTGTCGAAACTATATTAAAAACATAGAAAAGGGTATGACGAAATTATTTTGAGGAGGTTTCGGCAGGCATCTATAGAATTAGCTGATGAATTTAAATTTTTTATTAATTAAAATCGGAAGAATACAATCTTTTTACCATATTTATTTAATTATAATTTAAAATGGATTAAATTAACGATAAATTTCATTTTTAAACCAGTTTAACTTATGTGATATAAAGAAGGGTGAGTTTCTGTTTCCACCTAACATATCACTAATTATGGATGGATGGTTAACATTAGTTGGATTAGGATTAACTTTAAATTTTTTTTAAAAGAAGTACGGTCTATTATGGACAGCAGCTGATCCTAAGACCGGGAGACTGGAACCGACCTTAAAGACCGGGTTTTAAAGACCGATAAATGGTCCGAAGGATTTTCAAATGATCATCCACGCGTTCTTGACGCGTCTAACTATAATAAGGTTTTTTAAAAAAATTTACATCATTATTTGTAATATAACACTGAAAAATGATGAATACGATTCCTCAGACCGCCGAAACGGACCGACTGAGCCGTAAAAATCTCTACAGCCGAAACTATTTAGGTTTTTGAAAATGGATTAGATAAAAAAAAATTTATTTACATCTTGTTCTAGGTTTGTGACAAAAAGATTTAAAAGAAATCTTATAAAAGACAAGATCACGTGATAATTGACAGGATTTTACCCAATGCCGATGCTTCAAAAGTTCAGCACCACAGAAAAGAGAGTAGTTATCCTGTCTTGAGTAGGTAGGTGTTGTTACATTCTCGAAAATTCTTTTTTGTTCAACGATGTTGCAAATTCAGCCACATTCCTTTTTTGGATAAAACATAATTTACCATTTTACCTTACCATAAGTATTTTAAAGAAAGAAATTAATAATAATCTCCCTTTTTTTTTTTTTTTTTTTTAATATAGTAATTACTACATCATGACATGAATTGTTCAGCAAATAATCCATGAATCCTCTCGCAATGTGATTCCTAGCAATCATCTGTCAGAAAATTTATTATTATAGTAATCCAATTATTATTAATAAAAATAAACAATTTATCTCAATTTCAATTTTTATTCTGAAGCTATAATATAGTTGTGAAACTTGAAAAAAGGTTTGCCGCAATATTTGGCTCGCTTAATTTCTAAATTTTTTTCTAAAATAAATGGTCTACATTGAAGTGTGTATTTTGCAAGAAATCTCAAAGGAAGGTTTATTTATTTATGCATTTAAAAACTTAATGCATTATTTAAATACAAAACTACATGTAAAGTAAAGGTGTAGAAGATTAATTATTTCTATAAGATTAACCTATAATCGCCCTCCGATTCGCAATGGAATCGATACTGTTTATTTAATAATTAATTTATACAGTTTTAGAAACGATCTTCCTAACGGTAGCTAAGAAACTTGACGCGTGAATATATGATAATATATTTGTGATAACATAATGGCTTACTAAATTTTTATTAATTATCAAACAGTTTTTTTTTTTTTTGACATTTTTAAAATAAAAAGTTTCATTTACTTATAAATGCTGTTACTTACTGAATCCATATGTTATTAAATTGCTTTGTAGTTGAAATTTGTTGTTTAATTCTCTTCGCTCTAAAGATAAATGTTATACAAATAATTCATCCAATCAAATGTAGTTATCACAATGTGTATTGTATTAAGAAACCCCTCTCGAAATCCGAAACCCAGGCACAAATATCAGTGTTGTAATGAAAGATTTTGAAATCCGACTTTTTTAGACACGTATGCATAAGCATTGTATATATATAACAACTAACATCTCAAATGCCAAGGTAGTAATTAAAAAAAAAAACCCACATCGGATGAGACGGATTAAAAAATGATCTCTCGGATCACTCCAAGAGGAAAAGTTATACACTCGCTTCCTTTATTATCAATCAGAATGAATGTCCATTGGTCTGCATAAAAAAAAAAAAGATAAAAGGTTTTAGTCATAGACTTCGGATTCGGAGCTTGGTTACGGACTTTCGGATTCGACCTCCATGAAGGATGGCTTAGAGATTACACACAACAGTGACGTTTGTATTTACTTGAAATAGAGTTTCTCAAAAACTAATAACTTCTTGTAAAAATATTTATTATGACAACAACGAAACTACAGGAATGGCTTGAGGACGGTGGTGTTAAAGACCTCAATTGGTTACAACTAGAGGAATTCCCTGACACTGGTCGAGGTGTTAAAACGCTTCGACCCCTTAAACTCAACGATGTAATCCTTACAATACCAGGATCCTACCTCTGGACGGTAGATGCAGTATTTGATGATCCTATTCTTGGGCCTGCTATACGCTCTATAAAACAACCGTTGTCAGTGGAGGATACATTAGCAGTATTTCTTCTTTTTATTAAAACACGCGAAGAAGGTTACGAGGGAAGACGAGCACATGTAAATTTATTACCAAGCAGTTATACGACGAGTGTGTTCTTTAACGATTCAGAGCTAGAAGTCTGCTCTGGCTCGTCACTTTACCACCTTACCAAACAATTGAAGCAGCAAATTAAAGAAGATTACCTTCGGCTCGTCAATGACTTGTTTTCCAAGCGTTCGGATCTTTTTCCATTGGAAAAGTTTACACTAGATGAGGTAAGTTTTTCTTTTTTACAAGATCAGATTTATTCATTTAATAATGAAGTACTTTTTCTTTATGCTTGCTTGTATCTTATAGTATATGTGGGCCATTTGTACAATCTGGAGTCGTGGTATGGATTTCCAGTTACCTGGCAAGCAATTTCGATGTATTGCTCCATTTGCCGACATGCTGAATCACTCACCCGAGGTTCAGCTTTGCCATATTTACGATCCCCAATTGAATAACCTACAGATATTTGCAGGAAAAGACTACGCGATTGGGGAACAAGTTACAATACTTCATTTACTATTATTTTATTTTTATTTTTTAATAATGTGTTTAATATATCTTAAAATCTTTCCCATTGTATCTTAATATCTATTGAATCTCACTTATTATTAAAGGTCTTTATTAATTATGGTTCTGTTCCAAATAACCGACTCCTCCGTCTCTACGGTTTCATCCTCCCTAATAACCCATATGACTCTTACGATCTTGTTCTTACTACTCACCCTTTGGCTCCATTGTATGCTCAAAAAGTTGCCATGCTTAAATCAGCAGATTTACAAGTCAATGAAACCTTCCCTCTCAAACTTAATGATCCCCTTCCATTGGATGTGCTTCGCTATTTACGGATTCAGCGCCTATCTTCCTCGGAAATATCTACAGCAGAGGCCAAGCGCGGTGCCAGTAATATAGTCAGTGCTCGTAATGAGGCTGAGATTTTAAATGCTTTGATTGATGCAATTGAGGGTCTTTTGGCCGGGTTTGGCACTCCTCTTGAGGAACTTGAAGCAAAGGTTGATTCTGGTGTATACCAAAAAGGCGATAACATATGGGCAGCAGCATTAGTCAGCGTTGGAGAACAGAGAATTTTGAAGTTGACATTGCAGAAAGCAAGAGAGTTGCTTGCGTTGGTTGTTTGTGCTCAATGTGGAAAGGCGAATGAGGATAATAAGCGTTGTGGGAGATGTCGAAAAGTGGTGTATTGCGGGACTGCTTGCCAGAAAAGCCATTATAAGGAACACAAGGTTATATGTAAGAAAGATGTCACCGAAGGACAACAACAGTAATGCTGATAGAGTCAAATAGAAAACGAGATCCTCATATTCAAATTATTCTAACGTAATCGGAAAGTCAAATTTAGAATATCTTTCAAGTTTTTTTTTATTTATTTTAATAAAACTACACTTGTAAGATTATTTTACGTTTTAGATTTTTTTTTTTTGATACGATAATTTTGTTCCATGTTGAATTTTAATTGCATGTATAATTTTATGAGGTTAATGTTCAATGTGGGACCTGGTAGTATTATCGTTAGCAATAAAAAAAATATATAATTTTTGTATTTTCGAACTTGTTCAACAAAAGAGCAAACACTGTTAGGGTTGGTACGCTTTGTAATTTATATTTATTTACTTTTTTATATTCCTTATTTTGTGAAATATTTAAGTACATCTCGTAAGGTTCGGGGATAGAGATAGCATTGGGATAGGAAGGGAACCATTTTCTTTACATATATCTTATCGATATATCGATTTAGATTTGCAACATGGATTGGATTAACGATCTACAAAAGAATGTTTTCGTTCTGTGAATTGGAACTTGAAATGCTGTGGACTTATTGATTATGTATCTAAAAGGGACAGCCGCGTAAGAACGAACCCTATCCATGCTCGCCGTTACCTGTGTATTTATAACGGTTTCTTTGGTATTGGCTCACGTAGATATTCATTATTACTTGAAGTGCGTGCAGGCCATCGATCGTAAGCAATGTTAGCTGAACATCGAAAATCGATAATGACGAGCTGAGGAAGTAAACTGAGATATTTCAAGACTTCAAGACCATAGTAATGGGAGCAATAAGTCTGTGGACATGATGAGTGTCTCAACAAGTTCACCAACTTGGAGAAAACGATTGGGTTCAACACACGTATAGAATTATTTATATTTAATGTTGTTAGTAGATCATTCGCTTTTTAATTATAATAGTTAATTGGAATTGCTTGTAACTTATTTTCAAATCAGTTAAAATCAATCGAGCCGGATAATAATCTACGCGTTCAATGGTGACTAATATAATATTTTGTTGATTGGGAGGTTGAAATATTTCATCAAAGATTCTATTCCAATAATCCACAACTTTCGAAGTTTGTAAGCATTCATATATAACAAAAGACGGTATTGTTACAAAATTAGTAGTGAAAAGGGTGATATAAGTAGGACTAGTAATGAGGGATGCACGTGAGCGTTAGGTTGATGAAGGTATGTAGGGTTTGATCTGCAAAGAATTTTCTATATTTAGTAATAAATCAATAGAAGCCCATTTAGTCACATCACTATTTAAATGGTATTTATGATATATTTTTAATAAAGAAAACGATGATTAGTTAGCAGTTTTATTATTCCCTGTTCGTTTCTGAACTTTTTGGTCGAACTAAAAAAAAAAAAATTGGATCGTTTGAATGAAACGAACAAAGAAATTGGTTGAATGGTTAACATCAAAGCTTTTAGTTACTGATTTATCGTTTACATACTTAGATTGGCTGATGGGTTTTGGATCAAAAAACACGAACAATCAGAAATGAAGCCGGTCTATTGTGACTTTATTGTATCCCAATGTACGAAAACCGTTTCTCATGCGTAATTGCAACGAGTTTATCATTTTGCGGTTCATGGTAGAAAATTACTTTATGTACGATTGAATCTTGAATAATTTTTCTTAAGAATTCCAGTCCTTAACCCAGTTCGTGTAATTAAAATTCTTTTGAATGACCAAAGCATGACCTTCACAGAGGATTTTTAAAGACAACATGGTTTATATTCGGCCGACTAAAGAATTATCAAACATATATATACTAATCATACCTGGATGTGGTTTTGATGTATGGCTTGGGAATTTGATCTAATAAAGAAAATAAAGGTATCTTTTATTAATAACTCGCGTTGAATTATTTTCATGATAAATTAATGCGTCAAAATTCTTTCCGAGATTCATTGACACGAATCATATCATCTTCCTCATTCAATTTCAAAAGTCACATATGAATATTCGATTGTTTTTTTTTTTTTTTTTTTAAATAAGATTCATATATTTTCAATCATAATTTAAATAGTTGCTCATCAGTCCATTCAACTTCAAAAGGATACAATATCACCACTTGTTCTCTAGAGACTTACTTGCCTTGACAACGATTTCAACAAGTAATTATATAGGCTTTAAAAATGGATCCAATGATTTGCGCAAGGCTGGAAGTCAAGTGGTATAGATCATGTAATGCCTATTGTCATGATATTATAACAAAGGGTGTCAGGTGGCATTTTTTTTCTTTTTTTATATAATAACAAAGGTTCTAGGTGACGTTATTATT